TAACTTATTTGTTTTATGTGACTTCCTAAGGGATTATTATGTAGTAAAATAAGGCAAATAATTTTATAACAGTTAATAAAAGCTCTCTAAAAAAATTTTCATGAGAAAATTAAAATGGATCACAACGTAACAAACACTAACGTAGGACGTTCCATTAAAAAATACTGATTAAGTAAAAGGTTAGACCATTATTTACTAAAGGGTTCGTTTCAGGGATGATATAATGCTATCGTTGGAAAAAGCCCAATATCCGCCTCCGCGGTGGCGCAACAGGATTGGGCGCTTTTCCAGGCGAATGTTTCATCGCTTCCTGCGATGTTAGCTTATTTTTTAACTGCTCCTCGATAAGTTCATGCATATCCATCTATAAAAATTTATTCACATTACCTTTGACACTTGCTCTTAAACAACTGAGAAAATACTACACCCTTTGCAGGGTTAAATGTTTTCATACGACCAAAAAATCTGAAGGGGAATACTCAACATAAATATGATTTCCTGTATAGATAAGTAATAATCAACTAATGAAAATTATGGAAATTAATAAGAGTAATTAAGAGATGGGGAGTTGACAGGAACGATATGGATTGACGAAGAAGACGAGGAGAAGAGGAGAAAAGGAGACGAGGAGAAGAAGAGGAGAGGACGAGAGGAGAGGAGAAAAGTATGAGAGGAGGATGAGTATAGAGGAGGAGATGAGGCAAGGAGAGGAGGAAGGGTGAGGGGAGGAGGAGGATGAATGGAGAAGAGGAGGAAGGGAGAAGAATAGAAGAGGACGAGAGGAGAGGAGAAAAGAATGAGAGGAGGATGGGTATAGAGGAGATGAGGCGAGGAGAGGAGGAAGGGTGAGGAGAGTACAGAAGAAGGGAAGGAGAGTGAGGAAAGGAGAGGAGGGGTTGAGGGATGAGATGATGGAGCTGAGGAGTAGATGAGGGTGAGAAGATATGAGAAAATGTGGGGAGGACAGGAGAATATGAGTGGAGGAGGTAAGGCAGGAGAATGAAGGGAGGAGAGGAGGAGGAAAGGAGGAGGAAGGGAGAAGAATAGGATATGACGAGAGGAGAGGAGAAAAGAATGAAAGGAGGATGGGTATAGAGGAGGAGATGAGGCGAGGAGAGGTAGAATGGTGAGGGGAGGAGAAGAGAAGGGGAGGAGAGTGAGGAAAAGAGAGGAGGGGTTGAGGGAGGAGATGATGGAGCGGAGGAGTAGATGAGGGTAAGAGGATATGAGATGTGGGGAGAACAGGAGAATATGAGTGGAGGAGGTAATGTAGGAGAAGGAATTGTGAAGGGAGGAGAGGGGGAGAAGGTAGGGGGAGGAAGGGATAAAATAGGAGAGGACGAGAGGAGTGGAGAAAATAATGAAATGAGGATGGGTAAAGAGGAGATGAAGCGAGGAGAGGAGGAAGGGTGAGGGAAGGACAGTAAGAGGGGAGGGGCGGAGGAGGGGTGAGGATAGGAGAGGAGGGGGGTTGAGGGAGGAGATGATAGAGCGGAGGAGTAGATGGGACTAAGAGGATATGAGAAGATGTGGGAGAAGGACAGGAGAATATGAGGGGAGGAGGGAAGGTAGGAGGAGGATGATGGGGGAGGGAAGGAGGATGCTAGGAAGTGCGATTTTTCCATAAAATTTTGCAATTTTTAATTTTATAAGACGTATCCGGTTGCATGATGGGGAGTACGGAAGGATAGAAGCCCCAAATATTTTAAATTTTAAATAAAACTGGTTTAATTTTGTGAATTATATAAATGAGCTGTGGTGAGTCTCACGTTTTATAGAATACATTCAAAAATTGATTTTCCATTTCTCAAAAAGTTTTTCCTAACTCTCCTCAACGGATTAGTTACTCTTAACCCCACCTCTCTTCTCTTTGGATACTTACACAACTCCCTTTTTGGAGGGGGAGGCTTTTTTTACACCCCTTACCGCATCCCCTTTCGGGGTTCGCTATAATGCCGCAAACAAAGACATTCTTTCTTACCTGCCACTGTTCTAATTGCTGGCTAAGTTCAACTTTTTGTTGTATGGCCTCCAACAGCTGACTGTTGGCTTGCATGAGCTCCACCCTCGTTTTGGCCAACTCCACTTCGGCCTTGGTTCTTCTCGCGACTGCTTGGTCGCGAACCTCCCGCGCTTTCGCCACCACATCGTCTACAGCAACATTAGAATTCGATGATGCATCACTTCGCGCCCTGTCTCGTTCCTCTATCGCAGTCCTCAATTCAACCTCACACACTGAAGCCTTGATTGAGAAAACAAAATTAAATTAACCTATTGCATCGAGAGGTACAACTACTATTATCTTCCTTGTTCAGTTGTTTGTCATTAAGACATTCCTTCCTTATACTTTTTTGATCAGATGCCTAATAAAATATTTATTTACGATCGAATGTTAAAATTGTTATCAAGCAGACAGGTTCTTTAGCTGTAGGTCTAAATTGGTGTGACATCTTGCAGCAATAAAAACTTATTCTCATTGGCGTCGTCAAAAATCGAATGGTGACGACATTTTTACTTGAACAATTTAAAATGGTATGGCGCAATGGATATAGGATGGAATAATACCATCCACTGTATTCTAATGAAGCATTTAATTACTTCCATCTTATGGTATGATGTACCAAAGTATTTGATAAATAATTCAGCAAGTATCAATAATGACCAAATCTTCCACACCAAAATTATGGAAGATTGGAAAGGCCTTACTGATAAGTTATAAGGTATAACAATTTTTCACTTATTGTAAGGAGTTTCCCTTTCTACGTATGTGTACTCGTTTTATAAATCTTCTGAGTTTTCATAAATTTACAGAGCAACAAATTTTTTTGTATAAATAGAAAGTTGGTTAGAAGAGATGTTTTTGGAAAGGAAAATAATTACCTTTGTGGTTAGCTCCATGATCGTTTCTGCCCTTCGGGCCAGTTCCAAATCCCTTTCCTGTATCTCACGTCTTGCATTTTCCAGCCTTTCTAACAACCTGACGACATCGGTATCGATAACGATATTGACAAGTTCCTGGGCAACTTCGCTCAGTAGACCGGTTGAAAATTGTTGATTTTCGTCCAATGAGGTGGTGGAACAGTCTGAATGAAGACCTGAATCGTCATCGTGGTTTTGTTTGAGTTGCTGGCAAAGAGATCGGAGCTGTCTATAAACCGTCATGCATTCTTGAGAAAGTGTTGGTTCCGAAATGTCCATTTCTGCCAGTAAAGAACGGTGATCTCCTAATGAGAAAAGAGAACGAATTGGTAAAATGCAAGTCCAATTTGCATTAGTAGCATTTAGGACCACAAATCTGCAAATTAGTTTTTTAAAACGTATCTCAATCGATGAGAGATGATTTAATTTGCTGATCGTGAAAACGGACAGCAATTTTCGTTAATGCAACATTTTTGGAATCCTTAGAGGATAAAGATTGTTTTAAACGTTAATGTGAAATTACATTACAGATTATCTGAAGTTAATGAAAACAAAAAAATTGTTGCTGCTATCACATGACGATTCTGTGACCTTATAAGTGCGTTTTGTCGCTGTTCTGCTGTTGCCTCTTGTAGTTTAGTGATCAGAACATCGGCGAGTAAAGCCAAAGGTCTCGGGTTCGATTCCCGTCGAGGGTGTGACAGCAGCAACAAATTTTTCATTATTAACTTGAAGTAATCTGTGGTTGGGAAGAAGTTAAAATAATTTCACATTAATGTTTAAATTAGAACAATTAATTTAGAAAGATGTTAGACAATTAAGCTCTTAGTTTATTATTATTTTGTAACAGGTTGACAAGCAGATATGGAGGTGACAACTGCCAGTGCTTAATTTTTTACCAATTTTGATAGATAACACAAAAAATGCACATTGTAAGAATTATTTTGGCATAGTTGGGACTTTGCTGATAGAACGCCTACTTTTACTCACGACAGACGTTGTAGGGAATATCGTAAACATAGGAAAGAGATGTCAGGTAGGAATTGCAGCGGACACTAATAAAGAAAAGAGAATAACATTACACAAATCAATGTGTAACAGAAAGAGATGCAGACAAGTACAATTTGAGCATGTTGCCAGCATTGGACTTTAAGGAAAGTTCAACATTCTCTGGAATTTAGGAAACCAAAGACGCTTGTTCAAAGAAATAATTAAACCAGCCATTTATAAAGCCGACCCTGATCTTTTGCGTTACTAAGCAACCTGTAACCGCTGCACCACTTAAACATAGAAAGAGATGTCAGGTAGGAATTGCAGCGGACACTAATAAAGAAAAGAGAATAACATTACACAAATCAATGTGTAACAGAAAGAGATGCAGACAAGTACAATTTGAGCATGTTGCCAGCATTGGACTTTAAGGAAAGTTCAACATTCTCTGGAATTTAGGAAACCAAAGACGCTTGTTCAAAGAAATAATTAAACCAGGCATTTATAAAGCCGACCCTGATCTTTTACGTTACTAAGCAACCTGTAACCGTTGCACCACTTAAAAATAGAAAAGAGATGTCAGGTAGGAATTGCAGCGGACATTAATAAAGAAAAGTGAATAACATTACACAAATTAATGTGCAACAGAAAGGGATGCAGACAAGTAGAATTTGAGGATGTTGCCAGCATTGGACTTTAACATTATTATTCGGTTATCTCTTTTCACTGTGTCTCTACTACTCATAAAGCATTTCCTAACTTAACTAGGACTTGTTCAAAACGCAGCAAATGATTACAGTCCCAAGTGGAAACAAGAAAGAAGACAACTCAAACTTTATCCATTTTGATCGTCTGAACTACAGGAACAGTTTCAATATATTAGCAACAATTCGTAATATTGTGGTCTGATATTTTTTTCGACGTTAAGTATAACTAAGCTCTAAATGTTTTATTCACTTACCGCTGAGTTTCTCTTCTATACTCAGTTTCTCCTGGGGTAGGGAGTACTCTTTTAGCGACTGTTGATATCTAACGTCTTGTTCTCGAGCATGTCGTTCGAGAAGCAAGATCCTGTCAGAAGCTTCCTCTAGAGCAGATGCCAAACTGTCTCTGTCGGCTGCAGCGTTTTGCAACCTTCTTTCCAGTTCATTTTTCTTCTCGAGAACTAACTCTAATTCGTCCCTTAGACCGTCTACACTACTGATGTGTTCTTGTAAATTCGACTTTCCCAGCGCGCATTGCTCTTTCAACGACTGGATCTCTGTTCGAAGTTGATTCTCGACCTTCAAAGAAGGAAGATGATGAACAATTTCCTTCGAAAGAAAGAATATTTAGGTACGTACCTCGTGAGCTTCTTTTAGTTGTGTGGTAAGGCGGGCGTTTTGTGTATTCAGTTCTGAGACAAGTGACCCTTTGTCCCTTTCCCATTGCTTCAGCAAATTCTCTTTGGTTTGAAGTTTTGACGTTAACTCTGTAACATCGTTTTGTAATTCGATTATTCGGGCTTCGTATTCCGATTCCGCAGACGCCAGTTTGCGTTTCAACAGGTGGCGGTCTTGCTCTATTGTCTAGAACAACAAAAGTTTATTAACACGTGGTACTTTTCTTAACAAATGTCAAAATGATTTTAAATTATTGTTGGCAATCTGATGATTGCATGGCCATTGTAAAGGTACTTATATACTATTTATTATTCTTAGAATGATGTCCTACCTAGTAAGGATCTGAAAACTGCCACAGTATTCCAAATAAGATATTTTCATTTAAGTATTTAAATACAAATACTAAATAGTTTTAAGTCATCAGTGTTTAAAATAGGTATTTAAATATGTGTTCTAAATACTTTTATTTCAAAAACTTAGCAAATATGATCGCAGATAATGTACGAACGTAATCAAAAACTTCTGGAATTTGGGTCAGCACATCTGTATGAACATTGTCTTAAAGAGCACGTTTACTTGAAATTTCTCAACTTTTCTGTACAAAGTCGCCAAATGAAGCAACCACTGTATGCGAAATGAAAGGATATACGTGTAAGTAGGATTCACGCCGTCTGCCCCTTGCAAAATTTAAGTCAACCGTGAATGTCAGATTTTAACACGTTTTTAACCGAGTTTCTCTCATAAGAAATTTGTAATAATCGAAGAAGTTGAAAAAGAAACAAGAGAAAATTATAAAGGAAAGAAACTAATTCCATTATTTTTGTAATTTTTTAGCTGATTTTTTTCTCAGACTATGAATCAAATTATCTTACTATTAAATGAAACACATTGAAATTCCTAGTGGTTAGTATTAAATATTAATTTGAATATGCATTCTTAATTGTTTTCCACTATAAGTAACCTCAAATTAAAGAGAAAAATTTCGTTGCCGCTGTCAGAACCTCGCCGGGAATTGAACCCGGGATGTTTGGCTTTACGCACTATTGCTCTGGCTAATTGATCATTGGTGCGTAAAGTCAAAGGTCTCGGGTTCAATTCCCGGCGAGGGTCTGACAGCGGCAACGAAATTTTTCTCTTTAATTTGAGGTTACTTATAGTGGAAAAAGATTAAGAATGAATTTTCAAATCATCATTAAACTCAATAAAAAAACATTGTAAATTAAAATAGCACTCCCCCTTAATTTAGACTTACTCAGGATTCATTATAAAATTCCTATTAAATTCATTACACAATTTCATCTATAAATAATAGCTACGCACAAACAAACACAAGAACTGTTCATAATATAATTGAAGAATCGAATTTTACAGAGATTGAATCTCAAATTAAGTAATCAGTTGATTACATCGTCAGTAGTAAATTGCAAGAAAGTACTCGGTAGGTACAAGGTTGTTGAAGCCGTTTCATAAAACTGAAAGATCTAGAACAAATATAAGAGAGTGTCTAACTTATTTGTTTTACCACATTGAGGTCCAATTTTAACCGAAGGATAATTAAAAATAATAACTAAATAATTAATAAATAAAAAGGGAAAGATTAATTTTGCCAGTTGACAATTTTAATTTTTTAAAAGCAATTAATAAATAACTTTAAAAAAAGCTTTCTTTGTAACTTTGTCATCCAACTGCCATTCTGCGATAAGACAATGATTCACACGAAAGTGATAAAGAAAAGCCAGAAAAACAATAAAACAAAGATTCCTGAAAGTGATTAGTAATGGTCAGGTATTGCAAAAATCAAATTGGCGTTGAAAGTGTATGCTTGCTTGCTAATTAATTAACAAGATTTTTTGTGAATTCAGACATGTTTTTAAATTAAAGAAAAAACAAGATGTTACTGAAGTTACCCCATTTAATCAAGAGTCCGTGACAATAAATGCCATAGCTGACAGAAGCCGCGGTTATCGCAATTACATCTTCAACCGTTTATTTTAAATGCTCTACTTATAAAAAAGAAAAGAAACATTTCTTACATTTAACGTAGTCTTTTCTTCTGCGAACAGAAAAGTTACATTCAGTTTATTTCTAACAATAAAACGTAACGATTAGAGCAATTGTTATAAATCATAAAGGGCAATTACGATTTATTACACAATTACTTATAATATGCATTTTGTATAGCTGTTAGATAACAAAAACGCAAACTTTTTGTTTCTTTGTGTTTAATTTTTACTTGATACGTAGCCTCCCTTTATTATTAATAATATTAATTAATTATTAGGTCATCAGTGGTTTCCAAAGGCATTGAACCTATGGTTTTATATCTTTTAATGTTGTTATAAGTACTCTTAAGCTACAACAATACAATCCAATTCTTTATGAAATCATTAGACAAATGTTCGTTTTTAATTTGGTGGTGAGGCAGTTTTCCGACTTCGCTCACCCTGTAGAGGTTTTCTGTAATTTTATACGGTTCCCTAGTATATTATAAGGTAGGAAAATACACTAACTCATTATTTAATTCTTTTTTTGCTGACTATTATGATTATTTAACTTACAATAACCAAATAGTTAAGGATGTGGGATGTTCCAGTTTTGAGGAAATGCGAAGATTAGCTCTGGATAGGAAAGAGTGAAGGTGTGTGTCCAATCAGTTTTAGAACTGATGAATCTATGATGATAATGATTTATAAATCCTTACATAGTATAAAACAAAGTCGTTCCATCTGTCTGTATGCTTAGATCTTTTAAACTACGTAACGGATTTTCATGTAGTTTTCAGCAATAGATAGAGCGATTCAAGAGGAAGGTTTGTATGTATAATACATGCATATTATAATACAGAAAAACCGAGAAATTCAAAAATTTGTAATGTTATGTAACAAACATATTTTGTGAGCTTACATTGCAGACGCTGGATAAACTTTACGAGATAGATCAAATTAATGTACTACGGAATTGTATATCTTCCTAAAAAAGTCCGCGACGGTATATGTTTATCTCCTAAGGATAACCCACAGTGCGCTTGCGAGAGTAATCTCCAAGAAAACATGTTTGTACTATACTTCATTTACTTTCTCTAGCGATGTGCCCCTTCCGATATCTTGGATTCTCGCAGGCAAAATCGTAGGTAGGGAGAAAAAAGCTCATTATACTCTCGACTCTTGTTCATTAAACATACTTTTTCATACAGTACCTGCCAAAAGTTTTGTTCAATCATGAATAGTAGTGCGAGTCGGAAACAACCGTTAAAGCCTTTAATATGTCTTCAAATATAAATAAACATCTCGTTGATATTTTCAGTAGTAAATGGTACCAATAACAGCACATTTGAGCAATGCAATTGTAGTGGATAAAATGGTCAATTTTTCCGTGCAGTACTGTATGGATTATACGCTTCTCACCGGTTAAGAGTTGTCTCCTTCCTTTTCTGGCCTAATGCTGTTCTTTTCTACTTTGCGCCGATCAAACTGAAAATCACATCGCTACAGAAAGTAAACGAAATATATCTCATGAAAAAACAACTGTAAATATTGTATATAAAGATATCCTGTAGTATACACTAATCATATTCATAATATTATTAATCACTCCACACTGCCCCATATTAGTATCTACATTGCACCCGTACGAAGTCGGGGTGGGTTGCTAGTAGTACATAAAAATCGAAAGCTTTTGGTATGACAAGGCGGAGATGCTCTTCCTAACTCATAATAAAAATAAAATTTGCTTTTTAATGACAACATACATCAGGACTGCATTATTTGCATGGTTTGAACATTTCAACTGCTGCCAAAGTTTATCTTGCAACAATCAAAGGCGAATTGTGAGTCTTAATCATTAATAATAATTGTTAACAACTTATAAGCTTGACTTCCGATCGGAAAAGATCAAAAGAACCTTACATTTGCTTTAGAATTTCATTAACGATCGAGAAGTACATTTTTCCTATTTTATAAACGCTTAGGCTCTTGTGCTAAGGACTCTTTCAAGTAATGGTAGATATTAACAATGACGAGCGCTTGTGCTCGTAGAATCATTCATTGAAAAGTTTGGTACTATTCATGGGCCACACACCTAGAAGGGCGCAGTTCCTGTGCTCTAGATCTAGAGGGCACGTTCCGCTGTGTGTGAAAGTACCTCAACAGGAACCGGAAAAGGGCTTACGCAGGCCGACAAACCCGTGTTAAACAACCGATAGCTACTCAAAACAAGACATATGGTTGCACGAAGTTTCAACGAAACACCTGCGCCGTTATTATGGTTACATAGGTCGTACGATGCATGAGTCATCATCAACGGTTAATATGTGTGTTATCTTTCTTTAAATTGTATTTATATATTAAGCATATAAAATAATTTCACCCTCTCACCTGAACAAGCTCTTGTACAGCGGAGCTTCTATCAGGGGCAATAAAATTTTGTTATTATTCAAATTTCGTTTTATTTTATGGAGTGTGTTTTGTGGAGTTTCACCATAAATAGCCTTCAAAGTTTTATAAAAACAAATGTACGAAGTCTGTTCGATTTTTGCCAATTCAAAGAAATGGATCAAAGGATCTGTATCAAATTTCGTGTGAAAAACAAAATTAAGTGTGCTGACGCATTCAGAATGTTGACTTTGACAAATGGTGAAGCTAATTTAAATCGAAGCAATGTTTATCGATGGTATAAAATGTTCTCAGAGGGTCCAGGAGATGTAAATGACGAAGAGCGTGCCGCACGTTCGAGCACGTCAACAATAGACGAAAGCATTAATGAATTGAAGAAAAAGTATTACCCAATCGTCGAGTCACCGTTAGAGAAATTGCTAAGGACTTAAACATATTGATTGGTTCCTGCCATTCGATTTTTACTAATGATTTGGACATGAGACGGGACGCCGCGAAATTCGTATCAAAATAGCACAATTTTGACCAAAAACAGCATCGCATTAACATTGTTAAGGAGATGTTGGACTCAAATTGCATAGAGAAGATTAGAAATGAAGAGGTATTAGAAAGAACAAGAGAACAGAGGATTCTATGGAAGTCAATAAGAAATAGGCAAGATAGGTTGGTAGGACACCTTCTCAGGCATGAATGTCTAGTCAGAGACATATTAGAGGCAGAAACGGGAAAGAGTTGAGGATTAGAGGTAGACTTAGATTGGATTACTGTTCGCAAATAGTTAAGGATGTGGGTTGT